ACACACCATTGAGAACAATCAGAAACAAATATTCTCCCAAATAAGTAAACTGAAAATGTTACAAATGTTAATTATATTTAAAACTGTCATAGGTTATGTGTATAAGTATAGGAATGCGATAGTTTAGCTTTACATTGTTCTTTTTATAGAAGTACTGTATGTGTGTATGTTGAGATATACATGTATGTGTACACATACATGTGAATATATATATGCATATGTCAACAAAATACAGTAAATCTCCCATGTGAAATATGACTATTGATCTGTATTACATTATACGGCTTTATTTTGTTATACTTAGTGAAATTAATGACTCAGAAATTGTATAAAAACAATCACCAAAGCAATGAATAATGTCTCAGGAGTACATCCTCGATTGGGTCAAGACTCAGGTCTGTTTGTTCTGTTAAAAAAGGACTCAATGAAAATTAAAGCATGAGTTACCAGGTCCAGTGACTGAAGTATTAAAAGAAGGAATATAATTATCATAATTAATGAAATATAATTAGAAGGACGCTTCCTACCATAAACTTCACATTATTTTTTTAAAAATGATTTAAAAACTTGAAGTTCATCTTTTGCAATATGATTTCTAGTTTGCCTTGGAAACATTCACGAAGAACAGAGGAAGGCAGAATATATGACTCGAACATTTCTCTAAATCAATCTCTCAGAGAAAGAAGTGAAGAAAATGTTCTTTTCTCCAAAGGAAATGATACAAAGTACTAATAGTAAAGCTGTTTGTACTTCCCAGGAGAATAGCATGCCTGTGTTCAAATCAACCAATCTCTGTGAAGGCTTCCCAGGCGTTACAGTCACCATTGTCTAGTCATTCTCTTACTGAACAATGGAAAACATCACGACTGCACCCACAGAGAAAGAAAGTAGGTCACCCTTTCGTGTTTTCAAATTTGCTTTATAACATATATTGTGATTGTTATTAACCCAGTTCATCTTATTTAACAATATTCAGCCTAAAATTAATGTTTGGTTTATTTTTACCTCAAAAACTTCTTCATCCAAAATTCTTGTTCCAAAAACTGTGATTCCATTAGTATCAACAATTGCTTTCTCACTTCTATCAAGTGGTTTTGTGGTTTTCTTCTTACAATCAACAATCATTGTCACAGTTTTCTTCTCCACGCTGATTGCTACCCGATGCCACCTAAAAAAGCAAAGTAATTCATTTGTAAGCTTCAAAGACATTGTCTGCCAAACTATTATTCATGTTAAGTTACTGTGTATTTTAAATTGTAAAGTGAGCTGAAATAGAACAAAAATGTAGGCTCATTTATTAATCAGTCAGTAAACAGATGACTACGTACTGTTTACCCAGCACAGTGCTAGGTACTCAAAAGGACACAAGCAGCCATAAGATGCACAGCAGGATTAGCTGTCTATGCTGATAAGGAAGTGATGACTACGTACTGTTTACCCAGCACAGTGCTAGGTACTCGAAAGGACACAAGCAGCCATAAGATGCACAGCAGGATTAGCTGTCTATGCTGATAAGGAAGTGCCTATTCTTTGCTTCACTTTGTGCCTTAGCAACAAAAGCTTAACCTCACTCTGTCCTGATGAGGGTATCTGATAGAGATTAGGGTGGGATATGGGGTAAGTAATAGTTTCCATGTACGCAAATGCTTTCTTCCAAAGTGGAATTCCACTTTTAAAAATTCTGCTCCAGTGATCTCCAGAGATTGGTGGTAAAAGGGTATGTCTACTAATTGAATGACTGTTCCATCTGGAGCAACTGAACGTTCTAATTGTAAAACACAATGTGCTACTCTGTCTTTATTCACATTTATTTCAAGTGCTTTCGTTTTCTTTTTCCACTTTAATTTCAAGACAGTTATAGATCACTACTGTGGGCAGGATCCAAGACTGAGACACAATATCTCTCCTTCTTTCCAGGGTTGGCAGGATGTGGGAAAGCTGAAAGAAAGCATAGTCAAGGCATGTGTGGAGTGAGAGTCTCAATTCACTCTGCAGCTACTGCTTCAGCTAATTCCAGGCAGTGATGACAGGATTAAGGGGGAGAGATGGCCAGCCTGTTGGAAATACACATACCCTAACCATACTGTAAAACGGTATGTTTTATTAACAATATCTGGTGCTAACATAAACCAGTAAGTGAAGCTCACTTGGATTCTGCAAACCACTCTGGCTTATATTTTATTTTTTTTCCACATGAAAACTGCTAGATTAATATTCCAGAAGTGTCTAGGACTAGATCCATAAAATAAAGTACCCCAAAAAGTTGCAAGAGCCTTCCTAAAATGTCTGTTTCATGTGACTTGGCATGGCTACTGGTGAGGACCAAGTATATTTCCATAAACACTTAATCTTTGATCTTTCCACTAGCACATTCAACTAGCATAGGCATCTGCTTGGTTTGAGTTGAGCAAAGATTAATATAAGGAGCCACTTAATACAGTGAGAGTGAAATTTACACATACTTTATGCCAAGAAGCCTGCGTCTTAACTTAAACCATCCCAGTATTGTAGGTATGTGATTTTCATTAACAGAAAATAAAAAATGATTTCAATTGTTAAAAGCTGATTAGACTAAAGTTGGTATTTTTGTTGAATTAATTTAAGCTGTTATAATATGCCATAATCATGGTGTCACATATGACATTCAAAATACTACATTAACACTTAGTTTTGAA